CTGCCAATCCAGTTGAATTGATAATTGCAGACATTGTTAGATGTTTTTCTTAACTTTCAAATTACATCCTGATTTTTGAAAAAAAAACAAACCAAAAACCTGTTTGCATATTTTTCATCACATTATCTGAAAAAATCCAGTAATGATCACAGTATAAGACCCAGAATAGAATAATTTACTTCCTGAACTCCGCATCGAGAGCTGTTCTTGAGCAAATCTGGCAGCAATAAAAACCTGAGAGCTGCAGTACCCCCACCGACAAGACAATGGGAGAGGACGCAGCAAAAATAAGGATTAAAATGCCACAGCTGACATTTTATACCAGCAGACAAACAGACTATCATGCCTTCAGAGGATGCAAATTGAATTGCAGGATAAAATTTTCATTTTAATTCTTCTCAAAAAGGTCAGTGACCCGCCCCTCCTGGAGCATCAAGGTGTGACATGGCTGCTCTCCCTGTATGCCAATCCCGGGACAGGCAAAACCCAGGATCTGTTTCATCACACAGACACCAGGCTTTGCAATAAAATGACAGCTAAATTTGTTTTCCAAGCTGATTTTTCATGGCACATGTCCCTAAGTAGTAGATTCCAGAAGGGATGAGCATAGCAACCAAATCTGTCCCGGATGTAAGAGAGGAAGTGACCTGCAGCTGTAGGAGCTGCCAAACAGGTGCAAAAGACTGGAACACCAGCAGCCAGGACAGACCCCTGCCAGCAAGGCAATGCCAAGGAACCTGATCTGGGTATTAGCTCCATGTCCTCAGAGCAGCTCCACCATCCCTCCTGCAAAGTAACCTCCACACGAGCTGTTCCACGAATAGCTATCAACCATGTTCCATTGATTAACAGAAATTTAACAGAAGTATGTGGAATACTATTCCTCAATAGCAACCAAACAAGTAGAAATCATGGACTAGACCAACTCCATACAAAACATTATTAAAAATAGCCAAGAACCACATTTACTGCCAGTCAGAGTTTTGGATTTTTGCATCATACTGAGGTAGATGTTCTGCCTAACCAAGCTTGCTAAAATTTACTGTAAACTCTCAAATCAAGCCAACATTCACAAGCAGCCACAAGCGTGCTCTTTATCCAGCCCTAAATAACCCAGAACACTTCCACAAGACGGATGCAGCTGTTTTGCATTTCCAAACAACATTCAGGCATAATTATTAAACTCTGTTTACATGCCATTTCTGAAGCTCAGCACATACTTTGCTCCTTCCCTCTAAATAAGACAGGTTATTGTGTAAAGTTTTTGAACCCACAAGATTTTCTCCTACCCGTCTTGTTGTCTGGAGAGTTAGATTACATCGAGCTTTTGGATTTAGAATAAAGCTGGAATTTCCTCTATCCAGTTATTTTCATACATGCAAATAGAATACATATTTCGTACATACAGAAGTAATACCTACTCGTATATGTGTGTGCATATATACAAAAATTAAAAATAAATAAATAAATAAATAAATATATACGCATGGCCTCTACAATTGCTTGAAGCATCATCCTCGAAAGCCGAGCCAACCCAAAGATCTATTTTGGATCCATCAGCAACCAAATGGATTCGTTTAACCGAGGTTTTTCTCTAAGGAACGGCCCTCTAACAGTCTTCTATGATTCTAGACCCTGAAGGTGGCCACTCCGGCTCCCGTGCCAAGAATGGCGAGGTCACGTCCCCAAAAAAACCAGCCCCAAGCATGACGGTGAGAGAAGCGTCTGTCCGGATGAGCGGCCTGAGGGTTACGGCTCTCCCGAAAACAAGGGTAAAAACACGAACTCATCACCCCGGGAAGGTCTCGGAAAGTCTGGACAATCTCCAGGTGGCTCCACAGTAGCCGAGATACCCCAAATCCCGCTTACCTCCCGCCTGTGCATCGGATACCCCCGAGAAAGCCCCGCCCGCCCCCGCACCACCCACACACCTCGATGTATCCAGCGAGCGCGGCCGCAGGCCCGAGGAGCGCCAGAAGCAGCAGAAACGCACAACCCATCACCGCCNCTCGGCGCGGCTCGGCACCGCGTCACTTGTGTCACCCCAGGCTGCTACAGAAATCGGTCCCCAGGTAAAACTCCGCATAGGGGGGAGCCGAAAAAGCCGTGGCCTGTATCGCCGTCTAAAGGCTAAAAGCTTTACCCCACCACTGCGGTGAGCAAGAATGCTCTGGGGTAAAAAAAGCCTAATGAGATGTTTTCCTCATCTAAAAATAAAAAAAACCCCTGTTTTCCACTCAAAAAAACATCTCTACATCTATCCCCAGTTTCTCAAAGCCCTTGACCCATGTGCAAGCAGCAAGTTCCCAGCTGTTCGGGTTTCATAATAAAACTTAACACGTGCCCTTCTTTATTTTTTTTTTCTCCTTACAATACAGCTATTGAATGGTAAGAATGATAATCATCAATGGCTTCATCCTGTTCCAAACACCGGCTGCTCACCAGGTACTACCTGGAAGACATCACATGTACTGCCACACATGCTGCTCTGTAAACACAGCACAGCTCTCTTTAAACAATATGCCTGTATTTTACTAAAAACCAGACACATCACCATCGCCACCTCCAGTTTGTGTTTCTATTCAGCCAGAGCATGGCAGCAGTTCCTTCCAGTGCAGATGTTCTGCCACTGCTGGTGCTACTATTTCAGGACACATTTCTGGCTTTAAAACCAGGCTTTTGTGCCAAATTTGCATTGAGGATATTTTAATTTCACCACGTTACTTATAAATATGTTAAGAATAATATGTTACAGTTGCTGTTTGTAAACTCCTTACTTACCTTGTACCCCTGTCCCAGGTTTACTTACCTTGTACCCCTGTTGCAAATTGCTGTACCCCATGTGTTTGTTCCTTGTTCAGAGAGGCCCTGCCCCCTCTCCCAAGTTGGTGTACCCTGTGTTTCTTGTTCTGTGTTCAGCCAGGCACTGCCCCCACTGCTCCTAGACTCCCACATGGCAACATTGTATCCTTTTCCCAAGTTGCTGTACCGTCCTGAGGAGGAAGATGACATACTGACTTTTATGCAAACGAGAGAGACCAGAGACTTATGGGATGCACCCAGACTGGAAAAACCCCGAAACAACGAGCCACGCAAAAGGGAAGGAATAAAACCAGCACCATCTAACAAGGAAGACCCAGAGGAGTCCCCTGACTTCTTTCCAGAGGCCGACATAACCTTGAGGGGACTCGATTGGGATGACAACCTAGACTACGAGCCCGAAAGAACGAGTCTTCCCGGGGACTCTCGTGAGGAAGGAAGGCCCAGCTCTGCTCTAGTGACAGAGCTGCACGGATCCTTCTCTTCTGCGGTGTCCAGTGGGAGCAGTGGCGGTGTGCGCGACCCCTCGGGCCCCCACCCGAGAGCTGTGCTGCTTAATAACAGGCCTTTTTAAAAGGAGCTGGTCTCCTGGCCCGTTTATCACAAAATAGAAGTTTTAAGTAATTGGAATTTTACAACAAGTAAACCCTTCAAGAAGAAAGTAGATCTACTAAGTGCAGTTGCTGATACAACAGACTTTACACATCTCTGCAGAGCATTCATTAGCCCCTTTTTAGTACTTTCTTGGTTTTCCCAATGGAAATGTACATCAGTAAGTTAAGGGATCAGGCCCACCTTGAAGATGCAATCACTAAAGATCCCACTGGTTTCAAGAACATAAGATCTTTAAAAATACCAATATATTTTAGACTACTTGGACATTTTTCACACTGACATGCAGTGAACCCACTGGCATTAAGTCAGAAAAGTAGTATCATAGAATCACAGAACGGCTTGGGGTTGGAAAAACTCACCTTGTCCCACGCCCCTGCCATGGGCAGGGATACCTTTCACTAGACAAGGATAGAATAACCTATAGATTCCATATATTTGCTTTAATTTTAATATGAAGATACGTGAGGTGTTTAAATGGGGTGGAAAAAGATCTTAGCACAAAATGTCACAGTTATGAAACATTTCCATTCTAAACTTTTATATTCTTTACTGGCTCTTACAAAGTGCTGTTTTCTGAAATCAGAACATTGCTGAAATTTTGCAGATGGGGTGAATCTGTATCACAGATCAATAAGCAGCCCAGTTTTAATTAAAATTGCTCACTGGCCCACTGGTCACTTATTATAGTCTCTTTCTTAACTATTTGAAAACCCTTAAATCTCTTTTACTGCACTCCTCTGGCATATATAATTTTCTTTTTAGCCTGGCCAAGTTCAGTTGAAAAATGGGATAACAAGTTGCTTTTGAAAACTGGTACATTTTAATGTAAATATTTTAACGTGCAATATGAATACAGGAGTAAATAAGACATTCTGAGTTAGGCTTTTCCCTTTAAGAGGAGGGATACTTTTTTTTCCTCCCCAGTCCAAAATGTACAAGTTCTTTATAAATCTTTGAGTAGGGGTGTCTAGGTTTAGAAGACAGGTGTCTGCTAGGGAGGGCAGGAGCCTCCCTTGGAATGAAAAATATAAACCCCCTCCCTCTGAATTATTAGAATTTTGAAATCAAGGGGCTCTCAGACAGAGATCTAGGGATAGAAATAACAGTTCTTTACTAGGATGTATAATAAGGCAAATGAACAACAATAACTACAGCATTAAAAACAGAACCAGGGAGCCCGTGACAGCCTTCTCGGCCCAGTCGGGAAGGGATGGAGGAGAGGCTTTGCTTCACAAACCCCCTCGGGCGGGCAGTGCCGGTGCTCCTGCAGGGCTCTGTGATGAACACTCAGCTGGAACAGCAGGGATGAGCTGAGATCCCAGCCCGGTGGCTGAGGTGGATCAGCAGCTCTGCGGTGGTGGCTGGCACTGCCACATGTCCCGGCAGGACAGGGCGAATGGGGCCCGCAGAAGCAGAAGGAGAAGCAGAAGAAGCAGAAGCAGCAGCAGACGCTGCAGCAGCAGCTCTGTCTGGGTAATGGTGAATTCCTTTCACCAAGCAACAGGCCCGAATGTGTCCTGCTCTGAAGCTCAAGAAACGAGCCAGCCCGCAGCTACCCCCGCCCTCCCTTTTACCTGACCCCCTTCTCCCTGAGCTCAGCCAAACTGTTCTCAAGCACCCAGCAGTCAGAGTTCCCTGCAACTAATGGGGAAAAATTCTATAGGTGAGAAGGAGCAAAAGGAAGGACACCTAACCCCCGACACGGGGCTTTCATTCGAGGTTGAATTTATACAGTAGTTAAAGCGCTACATAAATGAATTTACTTTTAATATGTATGTAGTGCTTGGTGAGAATTTATGTTCACAGCACTGACTCCATTAGTGTTATCCTTGTCTTTCTGAAAAACCTTAAATCTGGTGACCCTTGGGTAAGTCTCTCAACTAAGTCTGAGGTACAACCTCCACTGCATTCTCACCTGCTCCTAGTCCTGCACTGTATATACACCAGGGTGTAAGAGCTGAAGTCCTGCAGCAAGGCTGCAACACAGGATATTCCTTTTAAAGAGCAATGCCATCAGTGCTCAATTCACTACCTAAAAAGCAAGTGAGAAATCAAAGTTTGAGGAATAACACATTTCCCTTCATAGAGACCAGTCCTCCCAGGACAAAAAACCCCCAGAAAAAAAGGCTTAATCTCCCAGATCTTGGTCCTTCCTTGGTGATGATCATGAGCTCTACACGCACCTAAATTCATATGACTGCAGGGTGGCAGGGAGAGAGATTGAGAAAAGAACGTCCAGCGAGATGTAAAGGGAATTCAATCAGTTGGAAAAAACCCAAAGGCTTTCAGCATGGAAAGGCTTTGGGGATGGCTGTTTTCATGTCTGCTATTCATAGAGGAGCAGCAGGTCACTACAGGCATGGTGACACTCACAATGGCCATGTTTAATTCAGTGCACAGGTCCATTCCTGGTGAGCACTGGTACTCATCTGTTGCCTGTGACAACACCACCAGTTTGCATCAATGCTTCAAGGCTGCAGCACTCCCTAGGATGCCTCTCCTGCTGTTAAACCCATCAGGTAGATGACATCTTACATTTACTTCCAAGAATACTATTTTTCACAAGTTCTGGAGCTCTTAGTGCCCTTTTCCAGGACATCTTACTAATGAAGCACAGAGAAGCTCATCTTCACCTTTGGCTGCCAATGTTTATTCTATAAGAAATGTTTCAAGCGAACATCTCTGTCCCTTATCACTTCCAAGACCATGATTGTACAAACAGTAAAGTGCATATTTATGATTGCAAAAGTGTGCTCTTAAAGAGTAATGTTAAATTCATTATAAAAGGAGCAAACAGAAGTTAACAAGGAATACATCTGGTACCATTAGAGTCTCTGGGAGCAGCAACTTCAGCAAACTGGTACATTGAGATCCTGAAGAATGAGTTCAGAGAAGTGACAAAATCTTTGAAGATTCCCACCATTCTCTTGAACTCCTGAAATTAAAGTGTAAAATTAGTTTAGCCAGTGAATTGTAATCCTTTACAGCTAAACTTGATTGAAGATTTAAATGGGGGATTACGTCATTCATACTAGTTCTGTGTGACAGTTATGTGCAAGGTAGAGCTTGCAGAGGTAAAGTTGAGTCAGTCTGAGTTTTAGGAGTAGAATGCAAACTGAAGTTAGATAACTTAAGAATGTGGTGGGATTAAGTAAAGAACTCCCTATTGCTTACTATTATTGGAGTATCATAATCATACTCCAATATTATTACTGCTGAACACAATTCAGCAATATAAGAAATACTAAGCAGTGCTTCTAGGAAAAATATAGAGCACACTTGCACAAATGATACCCAACTAACTGCCCCAACTCATCTGGAGCCATCCTGCCCTTCAGACAAGACCTCTACCTGTCACCAAGGCTGTGTAAGGGGCAGAAAGCAATACAAAACCATTATTAGCCAACTCAAACTTCATACAACATCCAGCTATTTAAGTGCCTCTGGGACATAGTATTTCTCCAGACCCCTAAATATATCAGAAGGTTGCCAGCCTGGTCTGGAATTGGACGTATGTATTTTGCTGCAGCACTTCTGTGTGGAAGCCCACAGTTCCTGCAGCCTTGTGGCTCAGCCTTCTATCTATGACTTAAAATGACAACACACTGGAGACAAGATGTAGGAAGTCCAGCAGCAGTGAGATGAAGGAAACTGCTGAAGAAACTGGGCTTAAGATACACAGTGAGAACAAAGATGCTCCATAGAAAGAGGGTAACAAAAAATACAGAAGCCTTGAGAGGCAGACAGGAGCTTAAAAACAAAAAGGCAATTTCTAGGAGAATACAGTGAAGTTTAGAAGAGTGAAAAATGGAGAATAACTAAGAACAGATGCATTACAAATGGGGTCATACCATAAAAACAGGGATAAATGGAATAACTGCAGACATGAGGAAAAGCAGCACAGAAATCTCTGAAAAGAAATGACACAGTAAATGGTGGTGGACAGCAAGCTTTTCTGTTTCTGCTCAGAGACTTCTTTGAAAGGGATTGGAAGGGAAGGGAGAAAATCTACCCTTCATTATACCAATAAACCCTTAACTCTTGATGGCCATTTTCCCACTGCTCTGGTTCATGCCTGAAACAGTGCCATTCATCTGGCTTCTACTGAGGTGGGCAGATCTGCACAGCAGTTTGTGCTGTGTTCATCTCAAACATCACAATCCTTGTCTACAGCATGTGACAGACTGTTAAGGAAACAAGCCTAGTATTAATATTCCTGTAACTGAAAACTTAAAAATAACCCTTGTGTTAGATTTGGAGATATAATGGATTTGCTGAAGCACCAGCACAGAAAGGTGCAATTGCATTGGAAAATGAAAAATGCATCAAGCCAGGATGCTTAAGGACAGCACAAGAGAGTGGCTGCTCAAGAAAGCTGCTGAACCTTCAACATTCTGCATATGAATCTCAGCATTCAGAAAATGTGCTAAATCTATGATCTCCTCTCATTTCTAGATGGGGGGCAAAACCAATGGTGAATTTAATTATACAATTTGTTTTTCTGAAGACTATCTACGGCAACAGCAATGTCTGAGACATGAGGAATCCATTTTGGAATAGAGTTGCACATATGTAGGATTCACTTCCCAGGAAAAGAAATTACTTCTGATATATAATTCAACAGACTAATGAGCCCACACTCAGTCTGAGGATCCCAAATGCAGAAATAGTAGAGATTAACAACTTTTTTAGCTAATACACAAGCTGGGAATTTATGCTGCTCATTTTCTCTCTCCAGATGGACCTAAGGCTTTGAGCACTGGCAGGATCTCAAGGCAGAGCAATGCCTGATGCTTCTCCAAGGAATTGAACACAAACATTGAACCTGACAGAGAATTCAAAAGACTGAGGGTCTAGAGGTCTACATGTAAAGGCACAGTGAAGACACAGTGGGGAGAGAGGAAGGAGAGGCTGCTTTGCAGAAAATATTTAGTGAACTCTCATCCTCTTGCTTGGTGAGACATACCTTCCTGCAATGGCATCTTGACTCCTTTATCTCTTCCAGTCTACCTGTGAAGACTAAAGTGACATTTAACCTCTAAAGATGGCAGAATCAGTCATTCATGTATAAAGGCAACCAAACCTTTCCAACTTAAATAAGCTGAGCCCCACACCTTTGGTAGAAAAGCCACCTGAAAGAGAAAAAGCCCACGATTAAAAAGAATCCATTAACACCTGATATTGGCTCATTTTAGCACTGAGATTTCTCTTGTTGTCCTTGGATGTTTCTTCCCTCAACTCTCCTCTGCTTGCCTCAGCCATTTCAGCAGTCTGAAAGGTTGTTCATTTTATAGAGGTCTTTTTTGAAAGATGAAAATTCAAATATGTTATAATTAGCTGCAGTTCCACATAAGTCAGTATTATTGCAGTTTTTATATTAGATCCTAATTTGTCCCACAAACGTATGTGTCAAATATTACAGTAGAATGACTAATGATATCAGACATAATGGAAGAATTAAGCATTGATGCAGGATACTTGCTTAAGAATAATAATTTTAACTTCTTTTCACTCATAATTTATTTTTGTCCTCTACTGTAAAAGAAACCTGAAACTGAAAATAAAAATTGCTTGTGTTAGTGGCAAGCAACAGAAGAAATCTGATTCATGGTTTAATTCTTCATTCAGTATTCATTGATAGATTAAAAGCCAAATCATCATAACAAATAGCACAGCAATTAACAACATGGAATATAAAAACCTCAAGACTTGTCCCATGTAGTGGTTTTGGTTTGCTGATTTGAGTTTCCTGGCCAGTGCACCAAATAATGTGGTGGGTTTAGCACTGACTAAAATCACCAGTGCACTTACCCATTTCTTGCTGTGAGATAGGGATTAGGAGAAGGGCAAAACAGGCTTAAAACTTAAAAGGTATGAAGAAAACTTTATTAACAGGATTAAAATAATAAGAAGCAACAGAATAAAACCTTCAGAACCTTTTTCCTCCCCCCGCCTGACTTCTTTTCTTTCCCAACTGACAACATAGAGACAAAACCTGGGATTTTAAAACATTTACCAATTTTACAATAGTCTTTCATCAGTTCTTGTAGGGAGAGGAGCTTTCTCTTGCCATGCCATGGAGACCTCTCCACAAGAAACAGTTCTCCTGTGGTTTTTCATTTCCACGAATAGCAGCTGTCTGGGAAAAGATCTGCAATCGTGAAACTCCTCCCATTTTCACAACCCACCTACAGCTGTGTTTATGGGCCATGTCAAATTCTGGGGTATTATTTCAAGGATGAGCTGTTCAAAAGCAAAGGTTCTATTCATCTATCTCTGCAATCATCTTTATCTCTGGGAACAGAGGTCTTCTTCTCTCCCTGGGGGCAAAGGGTCTTCATCACTCTCTCCCCTCTGTTCAAGCTTCTCATGGGATCAGTCCCTTCAGTATCTATTTTGCTTCATCATCGATACGTCTGCTCACATCTACAGTTTGAACACTCCATTCCCCCATAGTTTCTCATGAATTAAAAGGGGTATTCCAGTGTGTCATAGTCCATCTCAATGGCCTACCAAAAGAGCATTCAGCCTCAATTCTAGGCATCTCCTCATTCTCCTTCCAAGACTTGACTCCTTCTTCGCTGACCTTGGTGTCTTCATGTTGTCTGTCTATGTGTTGTTACTGTTATTAATGAAATTAGAATTTTGACAACTAGGTCCCTTGGGTTAATGGCAGCTTAATTAAAAATGAATACAATTTAGTAAATTGAATAGTAATTTGGTATAAAAGAGTATAGTTCAGTAAATGAATATAATTTAATAAAAATATATATTTATAATTTATATATATAATCTGCCAGTAATTAAGTATGATTAAAGCATAAGCAAATCCAACCGGGGTACAGGGAGGGCTTCCCACCCTGCCTCACGTACAAAACAAAGCACTTCAAGCTAAACTTCTATACTGTATGCTTCTACATATTCATTAATGCTTCCCATACGTTTCCTCCTATTTCCGATTTTTCTGACTTTACATCACTTTTCTTCATGGCACATGCATCACTTGTTGCTAAGGGGTCTTCAGTCTTCTTCTGGTGGTCTTTTGGCAAAGGCTTCTCCTCTTCCTCGTTGTCCTTTGGATAACCTTACAGGTTTGCACGTGTGTTCTAAGCGCTGTGTCATGTAAGTCTACTAATTATTCTTGTATTTACTGATTTTTAGGCCCAATGCCCAAAGTCGTTCTAATTTTGTCCATCTCAAGGCTGTTTTTGTCTTGGGACATCACTTATCTTCCAGACTACATCCTGTACCTCAATTTTAACATGTAACATCTGTAAAGGGGTGCATCAGCCTTGTAACACTGATTCTTTTGATTGCTTCTAATAATAACTTTAATAACTGCTACAATTTAGTTAGCACGAAACAATTCCATTTATTACATCACTATATATGTTTCTCTCCCTCGAGAGAGTATCCAGGTCTGCAGGTCTCATCTGTGCACTGAAAGGGTTAAAACTTTCCCAGACCTGCGGATGCCTATGTGATCTCTGCCGGGGGAGCGGCCGGTGGCTGTACTGCGGGAGGATGGCTCTCAGCAGCCAGGCTAGCACTCAGAGGCAGCACGCCTCGGGCCGATGGCTTCCCCTCCCCCTGCCTGGCAATTTGTGGAGAAAGCCAGCAGCGGCAGAATCTCGGCTGAGCCGGGAGCTGACGCAGCGCCGCTGGAAGGGGCCGCAGGCACCCCGGCGGAACGGGACCCGGAGGGATTGCTGAGCAGGGGCCAGCCCCCAGTTACGTATTCCGGGCCAGAAGCTAAGAGAGAGCTTTCCCGGCCTTGTCGGTTTTTAAAATGTGGATCGCACAGAGGCTGATCCAACTTCTAAATGGTTTCATCAGTTGTCAGTTCTCAGAACTAGCCAGCTATTGTTTTTTTCCAGGCACAGGGGAAGCTCTCAGCAGCTTCTCTCAGCAAAATCATTTCCGTGGGTGGTTACTTTCTTCGTACTAAATATCAATTAATGCAAAACCAGCACATCCTGCTAAGTAAATGTGCAACCATTTGCATATTTTTAGTGCAATTCAACAGCAAAAAATTGATCCATTCCTCTGCAATCAGGTCCGATTCAGCACCTGTTCCATCAGGCATCATGGAATTGCCTGTGCTAACAAGTTGTTTCATGGCACACCTCTTATTTCACCCCCAATCACTTGTTTGAGCAGTTACTCAGTTTGCAAGAACAGGGTGTATGAGAAGGAACTTATGACACAGGAGCAGGCAATAAAGAATTTAAAATGTCTCGGAGACACATCATGACTGATATACAGATTACTAGGAACTGTAGTTTTCCATCAGCTGCCTGGTACCTTTAAGCACTTTTTTTTCCTGTTGCACTTAAAAGCAGAATAACTCCAAAAATCCCTTCCTTACTTTAATTTGGTATCAGCACAGAAGGCTGCATTTTGCATCATTCTATTTAATAATAAATATTAAGACGTTTCCTGTTGCAATCATCATTGGGGCCTCACAGTTCTCAAACAGTGAGTCATCCTTCTTATTTCAACTCAGGAATATTGACTTTAGGTGCTGGAAATGCACACCTGGAGACATAGGACCTGCAGCTTTTCCCTTAGGCACTATCACCAAACCCAACATTGGGAAGGAGCTGCAGGGTCTTTTCTGAGTAGCAGCCTAGTCTTCAACTGATGAAAATCAGTGGTATACAGGAATTCTCAGGCACAAGAATTCATATTTACAGACTTTGCACTGCAAGGTTTTTATTTCAATGCCCCAAATACACCCAGGGCTCTACAGCACTATTCACTTACAAACTCATTCAAGAGAGAGGCTTTGTATTGTGCTCTAGGGTTTTTATAACCTTTGAAGCAGAGTTCTTTGGAGGGCCACAAAAAGTGAGATGCAGCAGTGCTTTGGCAGCTTTTAAACTCCTAAGGCAGCAGGAAGTTTGAACATAGGTTCTCTTGACAATAAGAAATAAAGAAATACATGTATTTGAAGTCAGCATCAGTTGAATAAAGGCAAAGAGCAGGACACAGCTGAAAGGAACTAGGACATGCAAGTAGAAGCTGAATCCCAGTGTCTCCAAAGGAAGGAGGGGACCGCCTACAATTTCCACCCCAAACCTGTGGCCTGAGGGGGAGAACAACCTCTTTCTGAATCACATTTTCTCAAAAGATGAGTCAGCTCCTGAGAGATCTTTAACAAAATCCCTGTCCTACAACCTTCCAACAGTCTTTCCCCATATCTTGCAAAAGTTGCAAGAATTTGAAGTTGCTCCTTTTATTTTACCATGATTTTCCCTCATGGGAAGAGAGAAGAGCCATCACAACCATCTTTTGCCATTGCAGCTTGCCAAGGCTTGAAGATCCCTTTTCTCCCAACATTAAAGACATTTTGCCCCACAATAATGAAAAACACCATTTTGCAGGAGAGCTTCACACTCGTATCAGTGTATTCAGCGTTTTTGGAAGCAAATTACAAGGCTTCCTCCAACTCTAGGCTCTCCTGCCTCATCCCAGTCACTTGGTTGACTCTCCAAGGTCTCCACCAAGATGTAGCTATTTGGCTAATTAACTGCCAGCAAATTCCCTTTTGGGATTTAAGAGCTGAATTTCAAATGGGAAATGATGATACAAAAATATATATCAGAAAGCAATGCGGTGTGAGTAATGAATCCTTTGCCACACGAATGCAGATTCTTGGGGTCAGAAGACATCTTTGTTATAAATGAAATTAGAATTTTGACAACTAGGTCCCTTGGGTTAATGGCAGCTTAATTAAAAATGAATACAATTTAGTAAATTGAATAGTAATTTGGTATAAAAGAATACAGGTTAGTAAAAGAATATAATTTAATAAAAAATTACAATTTATATATAATCTGCTAGTAATTACGTATGATTAAAACATAAGCAAAACTGACTGGGGTACGGGGAGGGCTTGTTACCCCACCTGACGTACAAAACCGACCGGGGTACGGAGGGGGTTCCCCACCCTGCCTCACGTACAAAACAAAGCACTTCAGGCTAAACTTCTGTACTGTATGCTTCTACATATTCATTAATGCTTCCCATACGTTTCCTCCTATTTCCAATTTTTCTGACTTTACATCACTTTTCTTCATGGCACATGCGTCACTTGTTGCTAAGGGGTCTTCAGTCTTCTTCTGGTGGTCTTTTGGCAAAGGCTTCTCCTCTTCCTCGTTGTCCTTTGGATAACCTTACAGGTTTGCACGTGTGTTCTAAGCGCTGTGTCATGTAAGTCTACTAATTATTCTTGTATTTACTGATTTTTAGGCCCAATGCCCAAAGTCGTTCTAATTTTGTCCATCTCAAGGCTGTTTTTGTCTTGGGACATCACTTATCTTCCAGACTACACCCTGTACCTCAATTTTAACATGTAACATCTGTAAGGATGTGCATCTGTCTTGTAACACTGATTCTTTTGATTGCTTCTAATAATAACTTTAATAACTGTTACAATTTAGTTAGCACAAAACAATTCCATTTATTACACCTTCGTTCATCTATATTTTAATAGTTTCCCCTCAAAATTGCTTTTGGCTAAGTTCTTCCTCAACATACCACCTGGTACACTCTCAGTGGACAACAGCAAGGCCAAAATTTGACCAAGTTTTCTATTTTTTAAAATCTCATAGATCAGTATATTTAAACACATCAATATTTTACTGTGTATGATAAATAAGACACTCATTTCTGTTAAGAAGTCTAACGAGATCTTTTCCATACTTACTGAAAATACAGCTGGACGACAGACCCATTTGCCAGCTCCTTGTCAACTGGGAAGGCTAAAAAGCAATCCAAAAAAATGTAGCTGCTTAGCAAAGATGTTAACTCAATATTTGCTAACCAATTGCAAAAGTCTTCCATCTCCCTTTCTCCCTTTCTTTTTCATAACTACCTTTTTAACTTCTTACAGGGGGAAAAATAAGCATGTATCATTATGTCCTTAGATCAATTTATGCTTAAACACATACACACACAAATACACCCCTGCAACCTTACAGGGAGCTGGGGGTGCAAGTATTGTAATCTGCATTTAAAATTCAGTGTGTTCCACTCCTTGCATGATCAGGCCTTAAGTACCTCAACCAGATTCCTTCTATTTGTCTTGTCTTCTGGAAAATATATCTTTACATAACCCTTCAAAAGAATCACTTCTATGCACACAGACACTGGCTCAAACACATCCACCAGTTTTCATAAACCTTATCCCAGCAAAGGATGGAACTGTGTCATCAGATGAAAACTACAGATCACAGCAAGCAACTGTGGAGCTCCTGGTCTATGTTTAGAAGGGCTTACCTGGGATCAGGTTGATAAACTATTTGTTATTTGTATTTGTTATTTTTTTGTATAATTATTTTGTATTTGGATGCATTTCCTTTGGTACATAGGTGCAGAGCTGTGGCCAGAGAGCACATGTCAGGGGTGAAAGGGGAGTAGCCAGGGGTTTGCCTGCCCTACACCATGTGCTAGAAAAAATCTAGAAAAATCATGTGGGTAGATCTCTTGGAAGGGTCAGTAATAAATAATAATAATAAATTATTATTATTTTATTTTTATATTATATAATACAAATTATTATTATTATTATTATTATTATTATTATTATTATTATTATTATTATTATTATTTTAATAATAAAAATAACAAATCTTTGCCACCTCAAAACCTAAAAAACAATGACTTATTTCAAGTCATTTCAAGCTTTCCCTCTCTACAAGAATATATCAAATATATAATTTTTTTTAATTTTTGCCCTTCTTTTGTTTCCATGTTTTTCCGCACATCACAAACTGTCCAAGTTCTCCAGGCTCTGTTCTCTCTTTTTTTTTTGTTAGACTGACTTCAGTGAAACCCTAGATCTGAAAGTCCCCAAACAATAAACAAAGAACGTATTTCAGTGTGTTAAATTTGAGAAGTGACAATAAGGGCTGTGGTATGGTACTATGATATCACTCACAGAGGACTGTTACTTCATTGTGAATGGAAACAGCATCTGGCACAGGGCCAGAAATCATTTGCCAAAGGAGCATCCAAGAAGTAAAGCAATGAAAAATAAGATTCAAATGAATTTATGACTATGTAAGTTGTTGTCTTCATTGGGAAGATGTTTCTTTAAAATCAGGTAAGGAAAACCATTGCATATTATGTCTTTTTTCCACCTTCAAATCCAGGGTTTGCCAATAGCTTTTCAACAATTGCATGATTCACTATTGAGGATTCCATGCTGAGAGAAGATAGCATTCTGTACAGCACAGGGCTTTTTCATTTTTTTTTTTTCTATTTCTATTATCAACCAACATGCCAGCTGTGAAATAAAACCTGGAGAAAAACTTTGAAAGGAGATAAATTCCCAGCAGGTGTCACAGAGATACTGAATTGACTTTTAGTCTTAATTACACCTTCCATGTGGTTTTTCTGTGTTGCAGTTGCTCTATAGTAAATGAAATAGTGCTGTTATAAAATACTTTCTTCTACACTAAAAGAAAAAGTAAACAGATTAAAATAAAACTAGGGAAGTGATAGGGGGAAAAAAGAGAAACAGGCATCACCAGCACAGTTCCTAAAAGTTCTGCAAGGTATTAATGAGGAAAGAGGAGAGAAGAGACAGGATGTGGAATTCAGTACAGAGATGAATACAGGAAATCACAGAATCTCAGAGTGGTTTGGATTGGAAGTGACCCCAAACCCATCCCATTCCACCCCTGCCATAGGCAGGGACAACTTCCACCATCCCATGTTGCTCCGAGCCCCATCCAACATGGCCGTGAACACTTCCAGGGATGAGGCAGCCACAGCTGCTCCTCTCTGTGCATTTACAGTGTTTGAAGGTTGAAGAGAACCACTAGGATGCGAAGCAGCTCATTCAACCTTTCGGGTATTCTCGGGTGAAACAGAACTCACCAGGGAGATGAATTCAGCCTGTATCAAATTGATCCAAGTAGTGAAAAATGACGTTGTCATCTTAGGCCTATTCCTGTCCTTTGCCTTCCTGAATACCTCAGCAACTATAAGACTAGCTTTCAAGATGATCTTACCTCAGTGGCAAAGACATTTCAGTGTAAAAATCAGCTTCTGAGGGGCCAGGCTGGCAGCTGGCAAGTCTCTCAATTAAAACTACTCAAAGTTTGCTTTGAGAAATGCCATTGCTATTACCATGCTCTATTATTAAGGCAAATTCACTAAGCAGCAGATTTTGGAAGTCTGGGATTAAAGTCTGGGGTCTTTTGATAAACCTGAAGAGTCCAGATCCTATCTGAGTTCTCAGTGGGGTGTACTGGCTTTAGAGACAGTCTTCCCAAGAAAACAGATTTTAGAGCCCTGGGAAATACCAATTGTACTCTAACAGTAAAACTCTGGAAACAAGTCTCCCTGCAAAATAAAGGCAAAGCAAACCTGATACAATGCAGGACACACAAGCACGCTCAGCTGGAACTGCTGCAAACCTTTTATTGTGAACTGCAGCCTCATGCTCAGGCAAGCAAATCTGGAATTTTTCCACTATGTGCAGGCTGGGGTTACAGGCGTTCAAAGCAACAGTTTAACAATTCCATAGTAACAGAGAAATGCAAAGTCCTGTCATAACTTTACCATGTAAATCTGCTGCTTTGAAGAAAACGCCTTTGTTTTGGGTCAGGCTTGCCAGGTGCCTGGGCACACCTGGAATACATAATATTTGGGTGCACCTGGACAACATCACCTGAGCTTTGATAATGAGGATTATTTCCTGGTAAAAGACTGGCTCAAAATAATTAGGTTATTTTCTGTTCACTAAAAGATATTGGGGAAGAAAATTTGTTATTTCTTCCCAGGCTACAGTATTGGCATCCTTCGTCCAGTGTTGTTTCACTGAAGAACAGCAGAAGCCCTTCCAGCATTCCCTGCTCTGGGCAGCTCTGTGCTTTTCCCCTGAACAGCACATTCTTATGTTTTTCCTGTCTGTGTGACTACTGAAATTTCTTATTTGTAGCCATCTGCACCCTGGCAGAGGCTGCAGTTTCAATCCTAATGGCTGTCTTAGAGGATATCCTTTCATTTTTATCACCTTCAGAGGTAAGGCAGCATTAACTATTGAGAGACCGCCAGCTATTCACCAGTCTTCACAGAAGTAATCGTGAACACCGTTTATTTCTATCTTTAGCACACCTTTTATAGGGTTCTACAGGGTCCACAGGCAGACCAAGCTACTATTGGCTAGCACACACAAGTTTACATTTTTTCTCCTACACACAAGGATATTGTCTTGCTTTACCCTCTCTTCTGCATGAAGGTTTCAAGGACTTTAGCCTTTAATATCACGACTTATTTCAAAGGCTGGTTTGTGCATACAGGCCTTTACTAATATATAAAATATATCAACAATTAACTCCCTGAAAAATCCTGGCACTTGCTCCATTTGATTCCTCCTGTTTTCCTAAACCAGTTGTTTTCAAAGGTATTCAGACATCTGTCTGAATAGATGTGAATAGTGAATTCCACCTACAGTGTGGGTGGAATATACTTACCTTCCAAATCAGTTAAGTTAGAAAACATTCCTTCCTTTTAAACTAATCACTCACTAAACAAACATTTCTACCTAGACAACTACCCTCTTGAAGGACACATCCAACTCCAGAGAACCATGCTGCAAAAATACTTTCAATGCAGTCCAAAATGACACCAGTTTCAGGGTCTGCTCAGACAGCACCTGCTGCAGGGTCAGGACTCACACAAGAAATCCCAGTCTCCAGGGTGGTGACAAGCAACACAACCCCATCCACATACCATAATGGGTGTGGTTCTTCCACTTAAAGTTCCAGAATGTGGAAAAAAAATTCCACCACTGTTTTTCTTTCCAAGGACCTAATTTTTAACATGTTATAATAAAAAATTAAAGAAGGACTTAAGGCCACCATAAATAAAGGTTGAAATCAATAAAAAAAAAACCAACCACAATTGTCTTTTTTTTTCTGCACCACTCCTATGAGCTGTTAACAAATAGGATAATGATACAAATATTAGATTTAAGACATACTCAAATTACACCTTTATGAAAAAAAAGCCAAACCAACTTCTCCAATAATCCATGGCTAAGTCAGGACTAAGATCTACCTTCAGCACCTGAACAGCAGTACAGCACTAAGTTAGACTTCAGAGGCCACTAATCCTCCTGATCCTGAGCAGCTTCACCTGTGACCACTACTTCCACACTTCCCCTTCTCCCCCCTC